AAGAGAAAACTGAAACCAACAGAGTTAAGTGACTTGCCCAGGGTCATACAGCTAATAAATATTTGGGAATGGATTTAAATTCAGGTCTTCTTGACTCCAGGGCCAGTGCTATATCCACCACTATGCCACCTAAATGCTCCAAAAAGAAATATGCCATTTGATAGCCATTTCCTTATTTCCCATTTAATCCCTTGATTTTAGCTCATTCTAAGTGTCTCTTAAGAACTCCCCTCAATAGTTTCTAAATTTCTAAATTTCAATAAATGGCAGGAATCTACTGCCAAGTCTTGTCATTTCTATCTCCACAATATTCCTGACATATAACACCCCTCCCCCACTCTGACACTGCCCTGACCCTGGTGCACACCCTCAGATCACCTCTAAACTAGACTATAGCAATAGCCTGCTTGTGAGTCAGCCTGCCTCTGGTCTCTCCCCACTCTAGTCCATCTTCTACTGGCCACCAAAACGATCTTCCTAATGTTTAGGTCTGATAATGTCACTCTCTTGTCCTCTCCCCTTGAGTTCTACTAGATGCCCTATTAGTGGAATGGTTGAACAACTCTAGAACTGTGATAGAATATTATTGTGCTAGAAGAAATAATGAAGGGGGATGGTTTCAGAAAAATCGGGGAAGACTTATAAGAACTGATTCAAAGGGAAGTGAGCAGATCCAGATCATTGTACGTAATAATAGCAATATTATAATGATGATCAACTGTGAAAGACTTAGCTACTCTGATCCAGATAATGATGCAAGACGATTCCGAAGAATGTATGATGAAAAATGCACTTCACCTTCAAAGAGAGAGAACAGGTGGATTCTGAGTGCAGATTGAAACATGCTTTTAAAAACTTCATTTTTCTTTTATGTGTGTGTTTTCTTCTGCAAAATGTCTAATATAGAAATGTTTTGCATGACTTCATATGTATAATCGATATTATATGGCTTGCCTTCTCAAGAGTTTGGGAAGGGATGAAAAGAAGAGAAAGAATTTGGAACTCAAATTTTAAAAAAAGAAGAATGTTAAAAATTTTTACATGTAATTTGGAAATATTTAATGAAATAATAATATGCTTACACAAAAAAACCCAAAGAGGGCAGATATTTAGTTATCAAAATGATGAAGCACTAACCAATTAACCTACACACTTCTATTAAACTCCTACCATACGCTGGGCACTGTATTAGAAGCTGAGGAAATAGGACAAAAAAAACTAACTAGGGGAGACAATGTGCATGTATTATGAGTAAATACAAGTGGAGGGCAATTTAAGAGGAAGGGTAGGAGTAACCAATGGGGTCAGGAAAGGTTTCATGTAGAAATACAGGTAGAGAACTCAGTGCAGACTAGCTATGCTATCAAGAGGTTTCCTGACTGGCTGAGACCTTGGGAATGGAAGAATGAATCAATCACAGACAGGGGTGCTAAGGAATTCCAAAACTGGCTCTGAAAGTAAAGACATTACCTTCCTCTGGGGCCATGAGGAGGGCTGGACACTATGGCCCCAGCCTCCCAGCCTAGGAGTCCAATCAACCAATTTTACAGATAAGAAAACTGAGGCTCAGAGCCAGGTGACAGACTTGTCTTCATAGGCCATTCTAAGCTTGAGGAGTTATAGCTAACAAGACCATAAAACCTAAGTGCTTCTTGGTCTGGAACTAGACACCTTTCTTTTATACACCCTTCTTTTTTTTTTAATTATTTTTTTTTTGTTATGTTTTAAGTTCCAAACTCTGTCCCTCCCTCCTCCCCACTTTGCACTAGAGAAGGCCACTATTTGACACAGATATATATATATATATATATGTGTGTGTGTGTGTGTGTGTGTATATGTATATGTTTATACGTATACATATGTGTGTTGTGTATAAAACCACAGTATGCATACTTCCATCAGTTCTTTCTCTGAAGGTGGTTTATATATCCTTCTAACAAACCTCCTCTGGAATATTATCTCTGAATTTATATGTTCTCTTCCTTGTCAATAAGCTGTAGAAAATATACTCTTGTGGCCTGAAAGAATGAAGATAAGGTTTAGAACCCACAGAAAGGAGTGAGCGTTATAAATACCCCCAAGAGAAGATGGCAGAGACAATGGAGGAAGAAGAGGAAAAGTAATTGGATTTGAGGTGGGGCCACGATGGCTCAGGGACAGGAAGGTCAGGAGACTTGGTGCCTTGAGTTGAGGTTCAGGAATTTAAATTTTCTTACGTAACTTATGGACTTGTATTTGGAAAGAAACTTAAAACTATCTCTAGTCCAGGGGTTCCAAGAGGCCACCAACTCTTAACTTGGAATCCATGAACTTGCCCAGGGTTCCACAGCTAGTAAGCAACAGGATCAGGATTCAAACCCTGGTGTTCTGATTCCAAGGCCAAAGCCCTTGTTTCTACACTCTGTTGGATGCATGGAAACTTAAAACATAATTAAAGGTTAACTCTCCGGCCCAGTCCCAAGTAGAAGAGCTGGTCAGCAGGGTAGCTGCTGTGGTTCCATTAGGCTTCCCACTCAGGGCTGGATTCTTTTTTTTTTTAATATAAACTTATTTTTAGTTTTCAACATTTACTTCCACAAGATTTTGAATTCCAAATTTTCACCCCTTCTTGCCCCTCCCCCCACCCCAAGATGGCATGCATTCTGAATACCCCTTCCCCTAGTCTGCCCTCCCTTCTATCTCTCCCCCCCCTTCTCTTATCCCCTTCCCCTTCTATTTTCCTGTAGGGCAGGATAGACTTCTGTACCTCATTTCCTGTATTTCTTATTTCCCAGTTGCATATGGAAACATTTTTTTAAACATGAGTTTTTAAAACTTTGGGTTCCAAATTTTCTCCCTTCCTCCCACCCCACCCACCCTCATTGAAAAGGCAAGCAACTCAATATAGGTTATACATGTGCAGTTATGCAAAACACTTCCATAGTAGACATGCTGTTAAAAACTAACCCTATTTCCCTTAATCCTATCCTGCACCCCCATTCATTCTATTCTTTCTTTTGACCCTGTCCCTCCTCAGAAGTACTTCCTTCTGATTGCCCCTTTCCCAATCTGCCCTTCTCTCTATCATCCCCCTGCTCTCTTATCCCCTTCCTCCCCTCTTTTCCTGTAGGGTAAGACAGATTTCCATACCCAATTGAGTGTGTATGTTATTCCCTCCTTAAGCCAAATCCTATGAGAATAAGATTCCCTCATTTCCTCTCATCTTCCCATTTCCCCTCCACTGTAAGAACCTTTTCTTGTCTGTTTTGCGCAAGATAATGTACCCCATTCTACCTCTCCCTTTCACCTTCTAGTATAATCCTCTCTCACCCCTTAATTTTATTCTCCAGATATCACCCCTTCATCTTCAACTCACCCTGTGCCCTCTATCATCTATCTATACATACACATAATTTTTTACCCTCCCACTACCCTAATACTGACAAAGGTCTGATGAGTTATAAATATTGTCTTTCCATGCAGGAATGAAAACAGGTTAGCCTTAATAAGTCTCTTATGATTTCTCTTTTCTGTTTACCTCTTCATGTTCCACTTGAGTCTTGTGTTTGAAAGTCAAATTTTCTATTCAGCTCTGGTCTTTTCATCAAGAATGCTTGAAAGTCCTCTATTTCACTGAATGACCATTTTTCCCCCTGAAGGATTATACTCAGTGTTGCTGGGTTAAGTTCAAGGCTGGATTCTTCACAGGCTTACAGGGAAGAAGCTGGCTACTAGTCCTGAAGACATTACAAGAACTGAAGAGCAATTTTCTCACATTTTGGCTTCGGGGAAAAAATCTCCGAATACTTAGAGAACCACTCTTTTATTCACTTGACAAAAATTTATTAAGCCTCTCTTCTATGCAGAGCTTGGTGCCAGGCACTGGGGAGATACAGAATTTAGATTAAGACATGGTCTGCATACACTTTGACCAAGCAATATCACTAGTAGGTCTCTATCCCAGGAAAAGGATCCATATGTACACAAATGTTTACAGCAGCTCTTAGTGGTGGCAAAGAATTGGAAATTGGGAGATGACCATTGACTGGGGAATGGCTAAACAAGTTGTTGTATATGATTGTAATGGAACACTATTGTGCTATAAGAAATGATGAGCAGGATGCTCTCAGAAAAACCTGGAAAGACTTATATGAACTGATGCAAAGTGAAATGAGTGGAACCAAGAGAATACAAGACAACATTGTCTTTTTTTTGTTGTTGCTGTTGTTTCGTTTTGTAGGCAGTTGGGGTTAAGTGACTTGCCCAAGGTCACACAGCTAGTAACATGACAAATGTTTGGTCTAAGGCCGGATTTGAACTCAGGTCCTCCTAACTTCAGGGCTGGTGCTCTATCCACTGCACCATCTAGCTGCCCCTACAAGAGAACATTGTATACAATAACAACAATATTGCATGATGAGTGACTGTGAATGACTTATTCTCAGCAATACGATTCAAGACAATTCTGAAAAACTTATGAAAAATGCTAGCCATCTCCAGAGAAAGAATTGATGGAGTATGAATGCAGACTGAAACATACTTTTTCTTTACTTTCTTTATTTTTGCTTTTATTGGCTGTGTTTTCTTTTACAACATGACTAATACAGAAAGATGTTTTGCATGACTGTACATGTATAACCTATATCAAATTGCTTGCCTTCTCAATGTAGGGAGAAGGGTAGGGAGGGAGGGATAGAATTTGGAACTCAGGAATTTTTAAAAACAAATGTTAAAAATTGTTTTTATATGTAATTGGGGAAAAATATTAAATTAAAAAATAGATAAAACATAGTCTCTGCTCTCATGAGGCTCACAGTCTAGTAAAAGGATGGAACACATCAACTAATCAACCTCTATTGATTATCTCCAATTTATCCTTTACATATCTTGTTGGCATGTTGTTTCCCCACTTAGGCTGTGAGCTCCTTGAGGGCAGTGACTTTTTAAAAATTTCTTTGTGTATAGTGCCTAGCACATAGCATCCTCTTAAATACTTGTTGACCGACTGATCAATCAATCAATAAGAATTTATTAAGTGTGTACCAGGCCCTGGGGGTAACAAAAGTAGTCCCTGCCCTTGAGGAGCTTACAATTTGGGGGTTAGCGTGGGGTGTGTGGCAGAAGGAGACAATGGGAATACATATGATTATATATAAAATAGAGAGAAGATAAAGTGGAGGGGAAGATCGCCAGCAGCTGGGGGGAATCAGGAAAGGCTTCATATAGGAAGTGAAACTTGGGCACAGTGGAGGACAGAAGTGCAAATGAAGAGCTAAGTGAGGCTCATAGGAACCTAGGCTATTCCCAACTAGGGGCTGAGGATGAGGACGGGGGAGCCTTTAGCTAACAGCAGAAAGACTCACCACCCAAGGTTGGATACTGGCTGATAAAGATTTCTGGTCTGACCAGTTTATAAAGATCCCCTTCTCTAGGGCAGAGGGGCTGCAATTTATGGAGTAAATACTTACACAAATGAAATCATGGGCCTTTTGAAATATTGAAGCATTTTAAATGTGTCACTAAGGTCTTTCCTCTTCTCCACTTTCTTCTGGAGGTAATTGAACCCCTCTCGCTACAAGTCTTCCAGCAAAGCCTTGATGACTATTTATTTAAGATGTCATAGATGGATTGCCTACTCAGATACAGGTGGATTTCACTGACCTCTAAGGATTCCTCTGGTTCTGAAATTCTATGAGTTTGGTGTCTGTTTTATGAATTCTGGTGACTTTTCCCACGCTATACTAACTGTGCTAATTAAATGTATTAACTGGAGGTGAGGGGTAGCAGCAGACCATAGGAGATTAGTGAGTGTATCAGATCACTGGCTAATCAGCAGTCATCAAGTGAACAACAGAGGGTAGAGGACCTACCCAGGGTGGATACCAAAAGTGGGTACCTACCCAGGAGGGAGAGAGCCTAGGAGCCCACATGGTAAAATCAGAAAAAATGGCCAGTGAGTAAAGGCAGAAATGTCAAATCAACTGAGGTAACAGCCTATGGATCAAGAAGGAATGCAACAGTAAGCCTTAAAAGGCTTTTGCTCAAGAGCCAAAGAGAACAAAACTAAGGCATGATGAAGAATCAACTAAGGAGGCAGGTGACCAGACAATATCATTTAATGGGGAATATCCATAGCATAGTGGATAGAAAGCCAGGAAGATCTGAGTCCAAATTCTGCCTCCCACATTGTGACCCTGGGTAAGTTTCAGTGCTCTAGGCAACTCACTGAGATGAGGTTCAGAGAAGATGCTCACTTGCATTAGCAGAGGGAATTTCCTCACCTGGGGTTTCTCTGTAGAATAAAATAATAGGTTTAGTCCCTATCCATGGCTTTATCTCAATCCCTAGCTCAGCTGAAGGTGAAGTAGCTGTGGGCTCTGACCACTCCTGAGGGGTACCTTCAGTTCAAAGGATCTCCCCAGACGCTCCAGTTCACCAGGGGAAGGACAAAATCTAGTATCTATTCAAGTCAGAATTCATAGCTTTTGAAAGGGAACTTGGGTTCTGATCTTGAATCCACAGGACGTGAAGAAAGTCATTTTCTCTCTCTAGACCTCCGTTTTCTTATTTGCAAAATGGAGAGGTTGGACCAATTAGGTGATGTCCCAGGTCTTCAAATCTTGGCTTCCTCTGAGACCAGTTTGCTCATGCGTTGTTTTGGTGGTGGTTCGGGTCAAGTTGGTACCTTCTGAAGAGAACTCAATCTGTCTGTATCCAAGATCTAGGTTTCTTCCCTTCCCAGGTATGTCGCTGGGAGTTTCTGGAGCACCGGTACTGTCTGTGAGTACAATGGCTGATGGCCCTGGGCTCAGCACTTGTAATGGGTCTGAGCAGAGACAAGTGTAGATGTCATCATCTATCTGTTCACCTGGCTTTTTAGCAAAAGAGGTCATTGATTCATAAAGGACAGAAACAGCCTGGAAAACAAAATTAAATCCTGTTTAGATCTGATGACACACTTCAAGGCAGATAGTTGTGGCACAGAAGAAGAGCACTGAATTCTCGGTTCAAATTCTGATTCTGATACTTACCCCTTAAGCAAGTCACCTCCTTTCTTCTGGCTTCAATTTGCTACTTTACAAACTAATAGGACTGAAGTAAGGCTCCTTTCAGATCTAAATCTATGACCCTATTGTAATTTAATTCCATTTTTAACAAGGTTTCTAGAAGTAGTTAAATCTCCGCTCCCCCATAAAAGAGTTTCAATCAATATTTTTTGAAAACAGCATGGGATAGTCACTAGACTTCACATCAGAAGATCTCAGTTCAAGTCAGCTCCATTACTTGCTGTGTGGACCTTGAGCAAGTTGCTTAACTTTGATGAGTCTCAATTTCCTCTTCTGAGAAATGGGGAATAATAATATTTACCCAGGCTTCTACATAGAGTTGTTTGTGAGGATTACATGAAATAATATAAAGTGTTTTGTAGCCACGAAGACCTATGTCAGTGTGAGCTAACTTTCAAAAATCTGTGATTTCAGAGGTTTGAGTACTTCCTATACAGATGCAGAGCAAAGTCCTTCTGGGACTGGGAGGTGATCTTTGAGATTATCACCCCGCAGCTGGCCTGGCCACAAACTGTATGGATGTGGCTAGGCTGGACGTCAAATGATAGATATAGGCTCCATCATGGGATGTATACATGGAGTCTTCCCAGATTGTTTTACTAGATAACCTCTGCAAATTCATTGCCATAATGGGGCACTAATGGGAGATGCTCGCACATGATTATTGTATTTTTACAAATAACTGTAATTAATGTGCTGCAGAACTTGGCATAAATGGTAGATAGAAAAAAAAAACCTGCCCTCATTTTAACTTTCCAGTCACAGCTGATTAGCCTTAACAATTAGCCAGGAGCTGCATAAGCTCATAGAAAAATAAGAGGTATTTTTAAAACCTTATTTGGACCATTGGATTTATTATTTGACCATACTATGCCTCCAGGAAGCATTTAATAAAAGTATCTGGAATGAAAATTCTATGAAACACTCACATGGCTTGAGTAGCTATGAGAAGAAAGAATGTAGGGGCTGAGAAAAGAAATAAAACTGGCTGTCCTCAATTAGTATTTCCCCAACCCTATTCAAAATCCTATGGAGCCTCTGAGGGCCATTTCAATAAGCTAGACCATTCAATGCTATCTCATAAAGCAGTGAGCGGCATCCAGCCTTTGCTTGAGCACACCTGTCAAGGATACTGTAGAGGGGTTTATGCCACAGGTGAGAGATAAGACTAGGTGACTTCTAAGATCCCTTCCAAATCTAAGAATCCATGATTTCTATGATCTTTCAGGGAGTTCTGTGTAATCACCCTGGACAACAATGAGATCTTTTTCTCTCCTGGGCCACAAAAGCACTTACTGTCAAAATATAGGTGCTTGATTATCCTGGATTGTGGATGTCTATTTACACCTTAGAACCACAGACGCCTACAACTTGGAGGATGTCAGAGGTCATCCAGACCAACCATCAGCCTGATGGAAGGAAGCAACTTTGTAGAGTAAAAAGATGACTGGATGTAAAGGCAAACGCAATTCTGCTCCTGCTGTTGTTTGTTCTTCATTTTTGAAGAGGATCAGTGACATGATGGGGCAATGTCTTGACTTGCTTGTAAACGGGATTTAAAGGAGGCAGAGTTGCACAGTCGTCAGACTTACTCTTTCTTCCAGAGCCATCAAAGTCCAGCGGCAAGACAAAAATCAAGATAACATTGGCATCTCTGAGGTCTGACCACGCTCTAGGGGCCACACTGAGCCCGCTTCAGCCACTTTCATGGGCAAACAAATTGTTGTCATCTGCCCATTCCACCATGGGAGGTCTTCACATATTTGGGGCAGACACTCCCTACCTCACTGATATGTTTGAGGCCTGTCAGTTACCCTCAGCCTGGTTTAGCTCGTCTGCTGAGATAGTTGACCGGAGTGTGGCCACTGCACAATCTACCGTGTCGTGAAGTCACTGATGAGAGTTGGGAGGCAGGTGGACAGGACACCAAAGGTGGATGAGCAGCCCTCACACCAGAAGTACTAGTCCTCCCTGTGCACCCCATACACCCCACGCTCCTGCCACTTCCCACTTAGACGACTTAGGGTGACTTGTTTAAACTCTCTATGCTTCCATTTCTTCAGCTGCAAAATGAGGGAGATTAAGAGTTAGAAGGAACTTTAGAGGTCATCTAGTCCAACCTACTCATTATATGGAGGAGAATACAAGCCAAGAGAGGCTAAGGGAATACTGTCCAAGGTCTCAGCAAGTAAATGATAAAGTTGAGATCTGGGTCTAGGTCTTCTGACTCCAAACCCAGTACCCTTTTATTATCTCTTTCTAAGCTTCTTTCTAGTTTTAGATTTTGAATCTCCAGACCAGGGGGGTTTTTAACCTGGGGTCTGTGTACTTGATTTAAAAAAAAATATATATTTTATTAATTGTATTTCAAGAGAGTTGGTTTTTGTTGTAACTCTATATATTTTGTTTTACGCATTTAAAAACTTTTTTTTTTCTGAAAAGGCATTACCATACTGCTAAAGGGGTCCACAATACAAAAAGGTTAAGAACCCCTGTTATAGTCCGACCATCCAGTAATTATTCCCTGTCTCTGTGATAAAATTTTGACTGCTTTCAACCAATGGGTGTTTAGTTTGTTAAGCACCTACTATGTGCCTGGCACAAGGATGCAAACAGTCCCTGCCCTCAGGGAGCTTACATCCTATTAGGGAAAGACACAATGTTTACCTATAGGTAGATGTATGGTAGAAGTGCATCCAATATCCCACAGAGTGCCTAACCAAGCACCAGACACAGGACAAATGCCCAACCATCTGGTGGAAGTGAACTGAATGTCTGCCTCATCAAGCTCACACACCTTTCTTTCTAAGCCAAATCTAAGAGCACTTTTTCCCCCCTAGAATTTTGACTTATAAAAATGATTTTTAAAAAGCTCTCCCAAAAGATGAAATGAAGGATAATTTGCAGTTTTGGAAAGCTCAGCCTTGTCACCTGATTGCTGAAAGGCAAAAGAAACCTGAGTCTTACTCTTCTGTCTGCTTTCCTCTCTTGCTAAATGACAACTCCCGTTGGCCAAGGCAACGTGACTTAAATCAGTCAAAAAAAAAATATGTATGAGGAAAACAAACAGCTCTTTGATTTGAAAGGCTGGAAGCATTCGCCAAGGTGCTGAGCTCTCCTGAGATGCCACGCACTAAATGGGGTGGGGTTTCCTTTAACAAATGATGTCCTTTCCTCTCTTAATTGCATCTGTTGTCATCTTGAACCAAATATTCACCACTGGGGTTTCAGCTGTGGCTAAGAAGAAGAGATGATATGGAAGAATGTGATCACTGAGGGACTGAAGACCCAGTTTATTAGTTTATTATCTAGGTTCATCATGTGCTAATGAAGAAAACTGTAGGACAGCCGTTGGCAACTTTTGAAAAGTGGCATGCTGAGAGTCTTGGGGTAGGGAACATTTGGCCTTTTGGATTCACTTGAGGACTTAAGGCCACAGGTGGGTGAGTGGGTGAGAGAGAGAGAGAGAGAGAGAGAGAGAGAGAGAGAGAGAGAGAGAGAGAGAGAGAGAGAGAGAGAGAGAGAGAGAGAACATGCTTTGTTGTAGCTCCCTTCGTGAAGGGAGGAAGAAAGGTAAATGAGCATTTATTAAGTACTTACTATGTCCCAGGCACTGTATTAAGTGCTTTACAACCATCCTATTTGATCCTTCCAACAACCTTCAGAGGTAGGTGTTATTATTATCCTCATTTTACAGAAGAGAAAACCGAGGCAAACAAGTTAAATGTCTTGTCCAGAGTCACCCAGCAAGGAAATATCTGAGGCCCGATTTGAACTCAGATCTTCCTAACTCCAGGCCCAGAACCTCATCCATTGTACCACCCAGCTGTCCTTCTTAAGAGCTGGGATCCTGTCTTTTCTCAGCTTTGTGTGTCTTCCAAAGTCTAGAACACTGCACACAGTAGGCCAAATTGTACCTGGCCGAAAAACTCCTCTGATAATAATTCATTTCCATAACACTTGAGAGGTAGCAAAGCCCTTAATATATAGTAACTTGTCTGGGTCTCACAACAACCCTGTGAGCAGAGACACTATAAGCTTCATTATTCCCACTTCATTAGATGAGGAAACTAAGGCTTGAGAGATTAAGTGACCTTGCCCATGGTCGAGGGAGGATTTGAGCCCAGGCCATCCTAACTCCTAGCCATTATACCGCACTGTCAAGTGCTGGCCCTTCCTATGCTTGGAATGGACTTTTAAGAAGTTCTTTCTTTTAAGGTCTAACTCAACTTCTATCCCAAATATGAACTCCATGTACATCTGTAAGTGGTCACTCAGCCTTCGCTTGAAGATGGGGTGCTCATTCCCCTACTCCCACCCCAGTGCAGCCTATTCCATTTTCAATCTTAATGGTCCAGAATTTTTTCCATCTGTTGAGTCAAAGTCTGCTTCCTTGCCTTATTGGTTCTGATTTCTGAGACTGAGCAGAAAAAATTAAAATCCTTCTTTCACATGGCAGTCCTTTTACATACAAGATGAGTAATTATGGTGGGTTTATGTCAGGTTCCCAAAGTGCAAGTAGGGATTCTTTTTAATGTGGGGCAAAACAACTGGTCAAGGGGCAATGGTGGGATGGGAGACAGTGATGCAGAATGTAGACTGGTCATAGGTACAGTCATGTTGGAAGAGGGGGTGGCAAAACAGCTATCAAAAAACAATTTAGAACTGTGCCCCCGAAGTTACTAACCTGTGTATATCCTTTGACCTAGCCAGATCACTATTAGACCTACAAACTCCAAGGAGATCAAAGAAAGAGGAAAAGGACCCATAGGTACAAAAAAATGTATAGTCACTCTTTTTTTTTGTGACAAAGAATTGGAAACTAAAGGGGTGCCTATCAACTGAGGAAA